TTTTTTTTTCTTTACGTTTGATTTAGTATTTTAAGTTATGAATATTCGTTTTAAGCGATTTAAAAATTTGTTGTTAATGTCAAAAATAATTTAACATTCATTGTGAAACAAAAAGCCGTGATTATTTATTTTACGTATAGTATTATTTTATTGAAAATGTATGATTGTAAAGAAGAGAGAAAAAAATATATTTTAGAAGAATGGGTATCAAACATGTTATAAGAATGACCATCTAAACTGGTACTGGTTATTATTATTATTATTATTATTATTATTATTATTATTATTATTATTATTATTATTATATCAATACAAAAATGTTAAATCCTGCAGAAAGGGATTAATCTATTTGTACATCAATGGATGACATCGTAGTTGACAATGTATAAATTGCCAAAAAACTATTGATTACAAAAACAAGTTATTTTACGTTTGATTCATTATTTTTATGGCTCTACTCGGCTCAGCTATTTGTACATACATTATTCTTTTAAGCTTTATCTTAGTATATCGAATGTTTTCAATAATAATAAAAATAAATTTTTTTCTATATCTACACTATTACATACTCAACTAAACCGTGTCACGTGCATCTTATCCTACATTATTAAAAGAGGCAGTTTTGATGGCACTATTCATAAGCCTTTTGGCCACCTGCTTGCGTTGTTGAGCCGCGTTAGCCGAGTGAGCCATTTTGTGGGAACAAATGATAAAAACACGCTTAGGTACATATTAGAAAGCGTGTTAATAATTTCCAACTTTCGAACACTGTATCAAATTTAAACATACTTTCAAGGATGTACTTTATATTGGGACATGTAACTTGATGAAGATCAATCTCAATGCCGGTTCATATTTGAATAGTTTTTCCATTTGAAATGATTTCCATTTTATATATACTATAGGTAGTTGCTTCTTCAGAGACCACCATTTTAATTTGAATGTACAAAGACATGGGATAGATTCAAAATCCAAGTTCACAAGCGACTGATTGATGCTCACCTAATGTAGTTAAACGAATTACTTCAATTACCATTGAACCTAGGGTCCAGCTCAAGGTTACCATTGCTGATTGTTAGAGTTACCTTACTTTTATTTACGTTTGTATGTTTTGTTGACATTTTGTTATGCTGCCCTGATGGAAGCTTAGAATTTACTTTTCTATGTTGAATGTCTCCCACTAATGGGCTCAAGTCTTGTATCACAGTTGTCATACAAGTTTGCTATTTATATGCTTTTGAGTTGAAAAGACTTATTTCACAAAATGACCTATTAATTTCATAGTGCTTTCAATGAATAAAGATCTTCAATTACAAATCATAAATTAGAATTTNCCCACTAATGGGCTCAAGTCTTGTATCACAGTTGTCATACAAGTTTGCTATTTATATGCTTTTGAGTTGAAAAGACTTATTTCACAAAATGACCTATTAATTTCATAGTGCTTTCAATGAATAAAGATCTTCAATTACAAATCATAAATTAGAATTTACCATTTATCCTTTGTTCCATATTTTAGTTCTTTTTGGAAACAACATAATAGCGAAGAATCTGTGTTCAAAAGCTTCAGAGACATCAATGAACTGATCAAACAAATGTTAGAAATCAAAGAAAAGCATGCAGCTGTAAAAGCTGAATTGAGAAAAATGCATGATAGATACTCTCAACTAAGCTTCCAATTTGCTGAGGTTGAAGGTGAGAAACAGAAACTCAAGATGATGCTAAAAAACAATCATGCATCAAAAAAGCTCGTAATCCCAATTATTAAAAACTATTGTATGGTGGTAGCTACATTTTAATTCTACCAGCTGAAGGAAACCAAAAGCAAGATTCGTTGGGTTATTAGTAGATTGAAGAAGAATACAAATCAGGAAGTTCAATAAGCAAATATTCACTTCTCCATCACCAATAATTTCGCAAAAGCTCCATATAGGATTCAATTGGTGCTTGTTTAGTGCTACACTATCTGATTGATGAATGCACTAATAGCATTTATGTAAATTGTAAAAAAGTAGCTGAACAATTTTATCATGCTCACTGCTTTACTACGCGTAAGCTAAGGTAAAGAATTGAACTTTTGAAATGTGTATAAAATCTGTTACACTTGGAAATCAACTTATATTTTATATTACCTTTTGATACATCGAATTGAATATTCTTGATTTGATTTATATGTAATATAAGTTGTCAATTATTGCTACCAAAGTTCGCTTTTCTTTCCATTTTAGTTTATTTTCGTATTTGAGATAAGATGCCACATTATGGTATTCTTTCGAAAATTACATCACACTATCATTATTGGGTCATTGTAGTCAAACAGGGTTTTAGGAAAGTTGATCCAGACCGCTGGGAATTTCCGAATGAGAGTTTCTTAAGAGGTCAAAAGCATCTGCTTAAAAATATTACTAAGCGGAAACCTGTACATAGTCACAGTCAACAACAGCAGCAACCAAATGGACAGAATTCTTCAGTTGGAGCATGTGTTGAGGTCGGAAAATTTGGGCTTGAACAGAAGGTTGAGAGGCTTAAGAGGGACAAAAACATGCTAATACAAGAACTTGTCACGTTAAGGCAGCAGAAACAATCTACTGACAATCAGTTGCAAGCAACGGTTCAGCGTCTTCAAGGTATACAACAGCGGCAACAGCAGGTGATGTCTTTCCTAGCAAAGGCTATCAACAGCCCTAAATTTCTAGCACAGTTTATGCAGCAGCAAAATAATAGCAACAGACGCATAACAGAAAGCAACAAAAAATGGAGACTTAAGCAGGATTGCATCAGTTGAGCAGTCGTCCATTCCATTGGAGTCAGCAGTTACAGGTCTTACTCCTTTTGCTGCAATTTCTGAGATTCAACCATCCTCCCTGGACGCAACTTCTAAAATTGTGACTGATCAATTTCTGGATGTATGGCAACTGGTTAGAACTCCAGAAATTTCCCCTGTTACATTTCCACCAACAAATGCTATAATGCCTGAGCTCTCAGAAATTGTGCAAGAACGCAATGTTGATGTCATGCCATCTGAAACAGAGAGTGGTACTTTCATGGATCCAACCTCATTCGGACTGGATGACAAAATTCCGTTAGAAATTGGCATCTTTTCTCCTGATTCTTAGATGGCATGAGATAATACCATGTTGGATGATATACCAGAGCCTCCTGCAGTGATGATTCCTTTTGGGAAAAGTTTCTTCAAAACCCACCATACTCATTATTGAGAGACCATATTAAAAATTCTAATAGTCTGCTTACCTTGGCAAATAAGTTAGCCTCATTGCTTATCTGCCATATAGTCAAAGCCTCCATCATACATATGGTCTCATGGTTATATATGTAACAAAAATCTTAATTTATCTATACAGTACAAAAATGAACTACGAAAGGGAAAAATTTGAAGTCATCTGTGTGTAATACATATCAGGTTTAGCAATCGATTTTTATTTCGTTTTAACTTTCAAGTTTATTCAAAAAGTTTTCCTAAATAAGATTTAATTAGTGATATCTTCAAAAATAATCAAAAATCAGTCAACACTATTACATAGCTAGCTATAGTAAGGCACGTGCATTGCATGTGCACTCACTAGTTATAAAATAAAAAGGTAGTTTTGTATATTCGCTAAAAATCGAAATTGAAATCTCTCTCGAGGAACATCTTAGGTTTACGTCAATCAGCAAATAATTTCTTGTATAAATGCTTTATTTAATAATTTGCCCATAACTAAGTTCCATAGTTTCAGTTTTACCCATTAAAAAAAAAATCCTATAAATTCATTGAGATATAAACCATTTTTACGTTAAAATTCATTTTAGAAGATTACCGTGAATCACAATTGGTTTTGATTTATCAGCAACAGTCGACATTTTGAGAAAGAGAGCGGAGCAATCTAACTAGTCGTTTGATTTCCCGCAAGTTGGTTCGCGGTTTGACGATTTTTTTTTTTTTGCAGCCCTACTTTTTATCCCGCCTAAGTATATATAAAAAAAAATAACGAGTTTGGAAGTAAAAATTTACTTAGCCCCATTTAAAGTTTGAGAAATGCTATTCATCCCCACTGGGGATGCATTCTCAATCTATGTGGCGTTAATGTGACATTAAATGATAGGTGAAATTCATTTAATTTCACCTATCATTTAACCAATCATTTACATTCACATAGATTGGGGATGCATCTCTACTGGGGATGAATACCATTTTTCTTAAAGTTTTGATACATTTTTATCTTTCTTCTTTTTAATCATACATTCTCCAATAAAATAATATTATACGCAAATCAAAACATTTTATTTCTTTTTCAACCACACATTCATTCTTCCAAAAATCACAATTCCAAAATCTCATTTTAGCTTAGCCACACATGCTTGTGGGTGCCTTTAATTTAATCTGGTCCCTGGTACGGCTCCGAGTCAAAATAATATAATAGAGATTGCATTTTTCTTTTTCTATTTTTCGTTCTGCAAAGAAAAACCAGAAAAAAAAAAGTAGTAAAAAATGGAAGAGCAGAGCGGCGGCTCGCGCCGAACGCGGTCGCAAGCCGCGCCGGACTGGACAGTGCAAGAATCGGTGATTCTCATAAACGAGATCAACGCGGTGGAATCGGAATGGGGTGGTACGTTGCCTTCCTTCCAGAAATGGCAGCAAATAGTGGAAAATTGCAACGCGCTAGAGGTGAACAGGAACTTGAATCAGTGCAAAAGAAAATGGGATGCATTATTAAACGAGTACAACAGGTTAAAGAATGAAGATGGAGGAGGAGCAAATGGACTATTAGATATTGAGGTTTTTAGGGCAATTGACAGGTGTGTCAAGGCCAAAGGGAAGAAGAGTGACAGTCATAGCACGGCGGCTGAGACTGAGGTTGAGGCGGTGGCGGAGGCGGAGGCGCAGTCTGTGATGGATACCGACCCGGATTCTGACCCAGAAGCGCAGGGTCCTTCGACCACATTCTTATTGGAAACGGGTAATTTTATTGTTGTACTTCTATTTGTTTGTTGAGTTGGCAAAATTGAAGCATAGTTGACCAATCTAGGTCTAGAAATTTGTTACCTTTTTGATGTAGTTTTCACAAATATGGTAATTCTTGAGGACATTGAAAAATGATTTATAATATAGGAAGCACTAGATCCAGTGTTGAATGCTGATATCGCATAAGCTGCGCTTAGGAAGTTGTACTTTTTTCAAGTAAAATGAGCTCACAGATGGTCCTTAAGGCACTGCTTTCGTTTTTAAGAGCCAAATCAAGAATTGGGAGATCCATAATCAGTTTTCCCTTCCTCAAGAATGAAATGACTTGTCTTTGTATTTCATAGTCTATTATGTTCATGCTCATTATATTCAGGAAGTAAATGGGTTCTTAGGTGTTTTTTTGAAACTAAGGGATGAAATTAAATAAAAGGAAGTTTGAGGAAAGTAATATTCTTTTTAGGGGTTCTTTATAGGAAAAGAAGGGAGAAAAAAATGTAAATGGAAGTGAATGATTAATCTTTTTGCTCGGGGGAGATATGTTTTCTTCGTTGTTGCCACGGATGACATTTAGGATGACGTAAAAGAATAGGCTTTTTGGTGTTTTGCTCTAAGTTGAATCTTGAGAAGACACTATTGATGCAATTTGTGTATTACTGACTGGCATTGTAAATGAAGGTCCATGTGTGGTGAACAAAATAGGAAAAGTAAACATTGCACAACCTGTGAAATATTAAGAATGATACTGGCAAATTGTATGCATCGACTTTATGTAGAGTTCTAGTTGTTTTACTTTTCATATATGGAGGAGTTCACATCAGTGCTCTTTGGTTTATATAAGATATATGACAGCATGGTAAAAGTTCACTGGATGCGGCATGAGCAAAGTTTGGACTGAAATAAGTTTGCATCATATATGCTGTTGGGGTTAATTAGCATCGCTCTTTGTGATATATTTGGGCAATGTACCGAACGAAGGGGCTGTATCATTTATTAATACATCCATCCTTGTGCATCATCACATCTTTTCAATTGATAGGTTATAAAATGTAATCTGTGGAATAACATGACACAAGGAAATATAGCAAAATATACATTAGATGTGCACCACATATCACACCTTACATCCCTATTAACCAAACCTAAACAGACTTACTAAATACAGATTAGTTTAGATTAGATTTGAATAGACAAAATTCTAATGGACTTTGATATTTTGAAAATATTGTGGTGTATTAGGACTTCCCTTGAAGTTAAATTCTGTACACTGCAAAAGGGGAACAGGGCATCCATCTATATAGACTATTTGAGTGCTGTTGAATATTGATCTGAATTAAACTTTTCTTTCTCCTACATTTCTTTCGTGATCTGTCTCTTCTTTTCTCCTATTTTCTCTTCCCCATTCTGCATCAATTGGATAAGTTCATGAGGGCCCTATAACTTTTGTAGAAGGTTTTTAAGAACAAAATATCGTAGGTCATCTAACTACTTTAAACTATCTGGATCATAGGAACCAAATTGAAATAGGTAGAGTTGGGGGGAAAAGGTTTTTATCCTTCTTAACCATTATGCCTCGTGGAAGTTTTGTAGACGAGGCTTCCACTTTATACCTATTTTATATAGCCCTTGTTTGGCCCCCATTTTCTAAAGTTCATTTTTCACCAAACTCATTCAACCATATATTCGCTTTATAAAATAATTTTGCACGTAACTTTTAACAAAATCTATTCTCAAAAATCTCTACAAGCATGGCATAATTTACAATTCATACAAAACAGATGCCACTTTCGTGAGAGATGTACGAGTTGGGGTGTTAATTTCTGAAAATTCCTTTCTTTTTCTCTTAATAAGACCAGATATTTTCATTATAACAACTTCATCAGAGTAACGTGTAAGGGTGTTCATTTAAGAAAATCTTTTGCTAATCTAGGGGACAGGTTATTGATTATTATTAAAGGCGGTGAATGTTGACAATAGAGTATGTGAAGAACTTGTTCCTATAATTAATTGTATTTCTAAGAATATATGTCAATTAATTATAGATCGCAAAATAATTGAATCTTATATTTATATTTTGAAAGTATTTTTTGATGAAAGGTGTTGGTTTTAAAATGCATTAATGGTTTTTCATTGTACTTTTCAAAATTTTTGAAGCTTTTAGTTGGAAACAGAAGATTACTCTGATTACTTATTTATAATTTTGTATCATTAGGTTCCAAGAAGCAAGGGCAGAGGATGAAGCGCCAAAAGCGAAAAATTCAAAGATTAAATCCATGGGGATACGTCACGAGTGGGAAAATAATGTTAGAGCAAACCAGCAGAAATGAAAAGATGTATTCAAGTGCTAATGAGGAGAGCAATGTAGAAACGAAGGAAGAAACACTAGCTCAAATTCTACGGGAAAATGCACTGCAAATTAATGCAATACTTGAAGGGAACCTAGCGGATGATGTGGACTACAGATTAGCTGATCTTAAAAACGCAGATGCCGTACAGATTGATTTTGCTAGACGCCAAGGTGACAAGCTTATTGACTGTTTTGGAAAAATTTCGGATACTCTTAACCAGCTTTGTGATTTAGTCCGACAATGAAACTGAATTTTCATTGAGGAATACCATGTCTATATTTTCGCATTCTGTAAATATAGAAAGGTATAGGACACTGGCAGCCTCTGTAACTTACCCAATGTTGATTTATTTATGTTAATTAAGCTCTAGTCAAGATTCCATTTGATACGATATATATGCACAAATGCTGTGATTGTAACAAGAATTTAGAGCAAAGAACTTATGTATAGAGGTTGTAAAACTAAGAGCAAATCATGCTGTGAATGTACAAAGTATACAGTACGTGTACAAGTGCTATTGAAATGGAAAACAAAATGACTTATTTTTCTTAAGCTGTTACTGTTTGGTAATCAGAAAGTATAAGATCTTTCACTGCCAGGTTGAGTTTCATGCTACATTTAAGTTGGAGTTGAAATCCTGGGGATTATAGTGAAGAATGGACAAAATTCTAGAACTCCTATCCAGCATTATCTTGACTCGTTCCCTTGAGGAATTAGCCAAACCATTTGATTGATGTTAAAATCCATAGACCTTCCTGTCGGCATTGGTTACGAGGCATAGTCCCTCAGTTTTGTGCTATTTGTATAGAACTACTCGATGTTCTACAAAGCACAAGAAGAGGGCCTGACATCAGATTTCCTGCAACATAAAATTTTTCATATGCATACATTAGAAGTCTTGATTAATTTTACTTTGTTCATTTGATGCTACTGGGACTAGTGTTATGGCATTCATCCTAATCCTAGTATCAAGCAAAACGAAATCAGTACCAAGCACGCATTTATCGTGGTACACCGTAAATGTAAGAGCTATGTAAACTTGCCACTTGAAAGTTAACACTATATTGTGAAGAAATTTTCAACGATCTCACTCCTCTCGTTCTGCACCTCTCATATATATAGGAATATTAAGACAGCATAATACATGTACAGAACGCCTAAATACGCTTGAATCCAAGAAACTCATAAAAAAATCTGCAGTCAAAGGGAAAAATATACAATACAATTAGGCTCTACCGCAGTTCCACAATTAGTAATTTAGATGCCTATTGAATCTTGACTCTTGATATGCCATTAGAAATAAATTTCGATCCAGTGTATTTGGTGAAAATTGATTTTTGTATACTTCAGAGTTTCATTCCTGTAGGTTATAAATGTGCAGCAATATAGGGAGTTCAATGTGTAGAATATATCCATAAAAGTTCCAAGATGATGTATGTTAACTTACTCAGTTACTCTAGACACAAAAATGTAGCTACGGCTGGATCAGGGATCTGCAGAATTTGAAGTGGTATCTTGTGCAAGTGCTCTCAGTTTGTACAATCCTGGCAGGATAACCTTACCAAGATCCGGTCTGTCTTTCCTTCGTAGTTTAGAACACTTGAGTGCTAATTTGGCAAAGCTCAAGGCCTCTTCAACCGGCCAATCAGGGATCGATGGATCGAGCATCTCACATATTGTCCCTTTCTCAATCGCTCTTTCAACATGATGAGTCAGACCCATTGGTGGCTTGCCTGTAAGAAGCTGTAAGAATATGATTCCAAGTGCGTATATGTCGGATTTAACACCAAGCATGCCAGTTTGTTGATACTCAGGATCAATATAGCAGAATGTTCCAGCAGTAGACGTCACGAGGTATTGAGTGACACTGTCTGCCGCAGATGGAGGGACAAGCCGGGCCAAGCCCACATCACCAATTTTACTAACTAAGTTACGGTCAAGCAAAATATTGGCAGGCTTTAGATCACGATGTACAAGTGGCTCGGGCTTCGTCTGATGGAGGAAAAGCAGTCCTGTGCCAATTTCAGCAGCGATTTGGAACCTCTGCTGCCAGGATAGTGGAGGAGTTTTTCCATGCTGGAATAAACGGTCTTCCAAGCTTCCGTTGGACATGTATTCATATACTAAGCAACCATACTCAGGGCAGGCTCCTAGAAGAAGGACCATGTTGGGATGCCGTACAGAACTCAAAATTTCGACCTGGAATTATTGAAATGATACAATAAAATACTAAAATTTAGAGATACGGAACACTTATATATAAGTTGAGGGTACATGATTGAAACATTCTCATCTCTCCAAATCCAAGAACCATACTGATTGATATAAAACGTATTGGCATGCTCCCGAAACATGATTTCTTACACTGGACTTCTCGTTTAACGAGCCAATTTACTGTCCAATACATTGCTATTTTCTTTTTCTTTTTTCCAATTCATGTATAACCATGTTTTGTGAAAGTATTTTTATTGCATTCACGTACCTCTTGCTGAAACTGCGATCTTCCTTGAGTAGCATCAGGACGAAGAACCTTAACTGCAACAGGAGTGTGGTCAAGACAGCACTTATATACTGGCCCATAACCTCCTTCTCCAATCTTATGAGCTTGTGAAAAATAATTCGTGGCAACTTCAATCTCCTCAATTGAGTATTTCCTGTATCTAACATCTGAATTTGCCAAAGCATTTAGTACCTTAGTCTTCTCTTCTGCTTCTTTTAGTGCTTTTGTTTCTGCATTTATTCTCTTTTGTGCTTCTAACTCTGCTATTTTCTGTGCAGCTTCAGCATGCTCGAGGGCTGCCCTTGACTTGGCCTTTTCCTTTTCTGCAAGTGCCAATGCAGCTTCTGCTGCTAATCGAGCCTCTTCTAATCTTCGTTGTTCTTCCATTTTCCAGTGCTGGAGCTCTTTTGCCTATATTACAAATATTATAGAGACTGCACAGAAATATTAAAGTCCAGAGCAACAGAAAGTTTCTCGTGCCTTTTGTCTTGCCGAGAGTGCTTCCTTGCACGCGGTACTGTACATATCCATTGTTTGCTTGAGCTCCAGCTTTAACCTTCTCATTTCTGCTTCTACTTCCTCCTGTAGTCATAAATTGATTAATAAAAAACTCCAGTTTTCTCCACAAATATAGCAAACAAACTCTGAGATTTGCTATAAACAATTTCTGATGTCTAGTAGGAGAAGATATTAATATTTGAAGTGGAAGTATATTTTCCAGCGCATTGATAATTTTAAGAACAGGAAGTAATATTTTTTTATCATTTATATTCTTGAAAAACTTGCAATAAAAATATAGATTTTTAATCCAGGAGATGACAAGCCTGATTTCTTACATACTTTAATGGTACTCGATGTCACTGAGGTCTTATTCTCTTCATGGAAGGTATATATAAGGGATTTTTATGAAAAACACGTTTCATGTCTAAAGATATGGATTAAGTGCCATTTGGTGAGTAAGAACAAAGGCAAGGAATACAGAAAGAATGAAGTAATGGGAGAGGAAGTTATTGCTAGAAGTAATTCATCGATTCACATAGAATCTATGTCCTAGGTGTATCCAAAAACCTTTTTTTCTACTTCCCATTTCCTTGAGGTTGAGGGGAATTCACAATCAAGTTCCAAGATACAAACACAAGTGCTCTATTACCCTTGTTTTAAACCCATTCTTCGAATTCATTGATCTTAAAAACTTTAAAGCATAAAGGCATAGAAAACATCCAAACATCAGCAGTCATTTGTATAGTAAATTCTGCCATGTCTTAACCTGAAACTATTTAACTACTCATCAAGCAATAGAAAAAAATTCAAATATGTGGAGAGATAATAGTGTTCCCAGGATAACTTATGTCTCGTAAATGACTTGTGGATCTTAAGAAGAGATGACCTTACCATTGACTGTGACGTGGATGTTCTATCGTTCTCAAGCGAGGCATACGACAATTCCAGTGGGATTGTGCCTACTGATTTTCGCCCAAGTTGCCATGACTCAAAGGCATGATTTTCTATGTCTGATAAGCCTGAAAGCCGGGGAGGGGTATGACCACTTTCGAATTCAAAATATGAAGGAAACATGTCAATGCTCTTCCTTCCAGAGATTATGTCAATGCTTTTCCTTCCAGAGACGATGTCAATGCTTTTCCTTCGTGAGATGATGTCAATGCTTTTCATTCCAGAGCTGACAAAGGATATGTCAGTATCTTGAGGTGAGAGATCAAATGGTTTGCCATTTGGACCCATCCTGTGAGTAAATGGAGACCTGTTTGCAGTAAAACACTTGAGTTAGCTTTCGTAGGATGTGTAAAATATTAAGACATTTAAATGAATAAATATTTCCCTTCTTTAACAACTTGAGCATTTAGATGAGGTGGTTCAACGTGGTATGCGAGTAGGCAAAGACCCTAAGTCTTGCCGCCACCCATTCATAAAAATTGTTTATGCATTTTATGATGAAAAAAAGGAACAGGTCAGCACTTTAGGGGGGGGTACATTGCAACAAAACCTAAATGAATAAAATTGGTCTTCTCTCTAATGGCTTATAGAATTAGAAGACGCGCTTTAATTAAAGTTGCCATATAACAGTAATGCAAAAATCAACTTTTGGTCATCATTTTAATGTAGCATGAAAATTGAAGGCAGATTCAATATGGGATCCAAGTATGTATTGGGGGCAGATTGTATCGTATGCTTTGAGGAACTAATTATGACGTACTTCATGAAGTGTGCCTCATTTTGGATGGCATTTGGAGATGGTTCTGATCCTGTCTTTGATTGTTCAGAAAAAGAACCTGCATAGAATAAACTCACTACTGAATCTATGGCTGGATGGTATAGAAAAAACAGAATAATATTTCAAAAAAATGACCAACTTTTGGAATTGTTGCTGGAGAATAATGATGGCTCAGATGTGTCGGATTGGCTGCAGACATGAAGCATTATTTGCGCACGCAATGGGCTTAGGATGGACGGGGGTCGACGGGAAGCAGCTCGCATGGATGAAATCTTTCCTTTCCACTGGATGATATATATGGTACAAAAATCTGGCACCCCTTTTAACACACTTCCTGGAATGTCTTTTGCTTTAAATCTACAGTGTTAAAGGCTAAATAAATTAGACTTTTCTAAAATCTGTTTTGCATTATAGTAAATACAAGAATGTAATATATTAAGGGGTTCGTTAAAGGCAGTTCATGAATCTAAAATCTTTTTGGGAATCAAAATGCAACTACAGTATTGCCAAGTGAAAAGAGCTTGAGGATGCCATTTTTATGTACAGTGTAGTGGCCTGTGTGGAAGTTAGTTTTATACTTCAATTATCATAAATAGTTTTCGTAAATATCTTCACTAATCAAATAAACTTAGGCCGTTCGGGAGGGATTAAAAGCCAATTAAAATTAAAAATATGGTCGTTATTGGTCCCACTCGTCTAATAAAAGTCAACAATAATGGCTATATTTTCAATTTTAATCCGATTTTAATCCCTCCCATACAAGGCCTTAGGCTCCATAATTACAAAGCTAAAGCATAACATCTGGCGAAAGTTTGTCGTCAGTGATGCAAGTTAGAGGAATGAGTAGATTGTTGATAAGGCCAATTTTTTTTTAAATTCTCGACTTAGCAGCATTTTTACATAAATGTTCTATTCATATAACATTATTAATTGTGAAATTTCAAAACCAGTAAGTTGTAAAATAAATCATTCTTTAATTTGTCGAATTAGGAAATCACTTGTTTTGAAAGTAAGGAAAGAGTTACTTTCTTAAAAAGTAACTTCTTTTTTTCTTTTTCCCGTAGTTAGTTAGTTATCCAAACATATTTGGAGACAAAGGTACATCCAAGTATCTAACTATTTTTCAAGCTTAGCCAAACATGAAGATCTGATTATTAATATTTAGAGAAACGTGCTTCAGCAAATAGCAATTGAAGTAATGAAAGAACCATTGAGAAAAAATAGCGTTCCTGCTGAAGACAGAGGAACTTGAAATAAGGCGTGTACCTGAATATACTGCCTTTTGCTGTTGTACCAAGAACCAATACATCAATTCCTGATTGCTTTACAAATTCAGTTATTGCTTTGGTTACATCTGTGTCTTCTAGCACAACATCATAGCATGATATCTGACAAATGAGCACAATGTTAGAATGTAGAGCATGAATTACCTAAAGAAATTCTCGTCTGGAAAAGGATTTCCGTTTTCGTGTTCATTCCAGATTGATTAGAGGATATCCAGTATCCTCATTGTTGGGGACACATTGATTTATTTTGAATTCAGACTTTAATGAAGGCCTTACAGGTGCATAGTTTTGACAGAGGCAGTGGCGAACCTGAACTCAAAGCCTTTGCCTGCTCTAATATTAGCACCTCATCTAAAAGTTTAAAAAGAAATAGCTATTTTCTACTATTAAGTATAATAAAAGCAAACATGTCTAATTCTTGAATGCTCACGTCTTTCCTTGCACAGTATACATGGAAAGGAAGTAACAATTCCTTTGTTTGTGCAGCGGATTCCACATTAGCCGACCCATTCTCATCCATATCAGAATTCTGGTTAGGCCCTGCACCAGAAAATGTTATGAGCAACTTGCATCATTAACAATTAAAATACACTTAATGTCGGTAGAGAGACACGAGAAATCAAAGAAGCGCCTAATAAAATTTGGCTTAGTGCATTTTAACTGGTAGCTGCTTATACACATAAAAAGAAACCAAGCACCTCAACTGGTGGAACGTCTCAACAAATTTGATAATTTTAATTAATGCAACATATTTTTCTGTATCTAAAATCTTAAGTTTTAAGTATGATAACTTCAGAACTCTTTATTTTACAAACACGTATCAATACTCAAAGCATATAAAACTGAATGTTACTAGACATGTAAAATAAATGTGGAGGACATGGCCTCAATCTCTTACCAAATCATTCCCTTGCTAATCACAAGTTTTGCAAATTGATTATATAATAATCAAGCTGATCGAACAAAATGCAACGTTACTTAAAGTAGATTCTTTTACTTACGAAAAATGAAACCTATTCAAACGTGCATGGAAACAAAAAATTGCTCAAAACACCCCCACCCCACCTCCGCCCTGCTGTCCCGCCCCGTCTCTTCCTCCAGAGCCAAAACACCAGTACTACAATTTGCATGCAAGCAACTCCACAAATTTGTACACTACCCACATACACACACCTAGAGAGAGAGAGAGAGAGAGAGAGAGATTTACTTGGCAGAGGCAGAGATGCGGATGGAGCCAAAAATGGTGAACTCTGTTTTGCTTTAACATGAATCAAAATTAGGGTCTGACCTTTAGCGACAAGATTTTCAACAGCCCATTTCAGAGAAATTTGGCTTCCTTTATCCCTGTCAATTGCCACCGCAATCAACCTAGTCATTGAAGACATTCCATGATTGATTTGTGGAGGCCACACCATATTTCGTTGCACAAATTTATCGCAGACCCAGATAAACAACAAAAATTCCTAATCCCAAGCAACGAAATATGATGGATCACCACATTAATTAATTCCTCGCACTTCACAGGAAAAAAAATTGAAAAACTCCCCCTCTCAATTAACAGATAAAAGAAGATTTCTACCAAATCTTCTCTTATCCGAAATGGACAATCAGATTCACACAGAGTAGAAATATTTTCTCTCTTTCCATCTCCATGTGTACTGAGATATGTAAGGGGAGCTCCGTTTTCAGCGGGCATTGGTTGCTTTACCGCTACTTTGATTGGGAAAATTTTCATTGGTTGCGCAGGAACGAGAGAAAATCCCTTGTATAATTGCACAAAAACGGAACATTTGTTCAAGATCATATTTTTAAAGCATCTAAAAAATGTGTATTTAAAAAATTAATAAAAATTGTAATTTTAATAAAATATGCGATTAAATTAATTATTGATTTTAACTTAATTTCAATTCGACGCATCAAAAACACATTCAAATGTTTTTTTAAGCTTGGTCTGGTTGAACATCAGATTTTGATAAAAATTAATGAAACGTATTTTTGAAAGGACTTTGCTACTTGTACATCACAATGTACATTGGGGTATACACCCCCTCACATGGGTGTGGGACCCGTTTAAATAAAAAAATATTTTATGCAGTGGGTCTCATCCCCATGTGAGTGAGATGTAACTCCTTATGTACAAAAGTTAATGTATAAGTAGAATTTTTCTTGCGGAAAGTTAATAAAACGTTGTGTTGTGAGTTAAAATTAAAAGTTATCTTTGATTTAAATTTTTATTAATTTTTTTATTTAAATTAAACATGGACTAAGAGTACAAGGCGAAAATATTTATAAACAACTTAATTATAAATAAAAAGAAATCAACGGCGTCATATATAGTACAACTACGAGGAAAGAAGAAAGCCTGAGAAAAAGGTAGAATTCTTACAAGTTTGAAGAAAGTGAAGGAGGAAGAAAGTTTGGATTTTTGAGAGAGTTCATACTTTTGTGTCAATGGTTCATAAATTTTTTGTTTTAATATTTATTGTATAATTTATATAAATTAATGTTGGAGGCGTCTATGAAAGAATAATAAATAATTGGGTCATTAGCTTCGGTCGCAAGGCATTGACGGACCAGGATTTTGGGTCAGCACGGGCAACCGTGGATCGTCGACTGTCAGCAATAAAATATTAAGAGTTTCGTTTGATTCCCATTTTTCTTTTTTTTTGCAAAAAGTGCCTTTTGGAATAGTAATTCGATGGAAAATATTTGATTAAAAATAAGGAAAAATTTTGAATTTGAATGTAATATTATTTTATTTAAAAATGTACGGTTGAAAAAAGAAAGAAAAATGTATTTTGAAAAAAAAAAGAATCAAACAAGGTCTAAAATTTTAATATAACAATTATTTTGTTCAAACTGAACATATATAATTTTGTTGTAAAAATTATCAATAT